GAAAGAAAGAAATAAGAAAAGAAAATGCATCTATAAACAAAAATGACTAATGGTAAATGCTATGCTATACGGAATGGTACCAAACATGGTTACTAGGGCGTAATTTTTATAAATTTTTATTGTTTTTGATAAAATTAGTAACAAGTAACGCTACGCTAATTGTAACTGTTTGCAAATGTCAGCTTCTTGTAAATGTCTTATATAGTGTTACATGTAACATACAAAATTCATATATTACAAGAATGCTAGTATTCCTCATCAACAATCAAATGAGCAAAATGAACATGAAGTACTAAAATTTGAAATTATCACGTTGAAAAATCACTGGTAAGATCATCATCATCATCAGAATCTTTTTCACTAGAATGTTTTTGTATGGTTGAAGCAGATGATGATTTCCAAATTTAACATTTATCGCTGTGAGAACTCGATTTTGTAGTTTAGTTTTCATTAAATTTAATTGCAAAAAAAAAAAAAGTTCAACTGCTGCATTTGAATGAGGAAGCAATAAAAACATCTATTTACTGTCAAAGTAAAGTAAAAAAAATACAGAAATATAGAATAAAAATGAATGTTTTGAAAGGAAAGGTATTAGGATTTCATGAATGGTACTAGGAAAATGGTGTTGGGTATCTTCGTACTGGAACAAGTAAAAAGGTACTAGATTAGTACAAAAGTACTAGGTAGAACAACAACTGGTACAAAAGTAGCCAACTGCTCCAGCAGTTGGCTACTTTTGGGCTACTTTTTACAAATTATTTGGCTGCAAGGGAAAAAACATCTGGCAACGCTGTAGCACACTACGGGCGAAACAGATCACTCCCCGCCACCTAGTGGTGGCGTTAGAGGAATCACTAACCAGACGATTTAAGTAGGGGAACCTGAGAGTGGGAAAATCGGAGAAAGAGCCTAGATAGAGCTAAATTCTCCATATTACACTGAAGAAGAAGAAGAATCGGAGAGTTGGTGATTCGGAGAGAGAGCCTATAAAGAGCTAAAATCTCCATATAAACACTAAAGAAAAAGAAGAAGAACAAGATTTAGTGTGGAGGAAAAAACGTTTGATCAATAAACCCGGGAGGAGAAAGAAGAAAGAATCTCTATATTAGAGAAGAGAAAGAAAGAAAGAAGAAAAACGTTTGCTGGTAGGTTTTCATTTTATTTTTAACATAAATAAAGCGAATTTAAGTTTTGAGTCGCGACGTGGAAGTAAAAGGGATACAATTACACCTTTGAACGTGACGGTTGGGACCTTGTCAGAGCTGTAGACCATACTCGGGAGCAAAAAAGTCAAAGGAACCATACCTATAAAAAATGCATCGCGTCGCTCCGCTAAGATTTTCTCGTTCAATTATTTAGCCCATTATTAAATTACCAATTATAATGATTATTAATCATAGTGGTCAACTATTACCATAGTATCCCCGTGGGCCCAATAAAAGGCCCAATCCTTGCAGAATTAAGTATGTCCAACATAGACCACGAAGTTGTCAACATCAGGAGAATAATAGAACTGTACTGTTACATTGATGATTGTTTTGTCATATATGATACATTATAACATTATACAGGCTGACCAAATACTTGAACATGTAAATTAAATAAATACTGACATTTAAATTTGATCTGGAACCTGAAAGCAACTGTCGGTTACCACTCTTAGACGTTCTAGTTATGAGACTCAAAGACAAAGCAATCTTTAAAAAAATATAAAAAGACTGTGTACTATTGACAGTATCCTACACTTTACATTTGAAGTACCCACTTATATAGGGTGTATCAGAATGATGTTTAAAAATTTGGGGGATTGTAGAGGATGAAATTTTGAACATTTTGATATAAGGAATATATAGCCGGAAATTTGAAGTAAAATGTCTACAGCGGTAGGAAGTGCTTGACTGCCCTTCACTTTGGTAGCTACCCTTCTGTCCATTGATGTCATATTATTGCTGTAGATGAAAGACTGTAAACACACAACTACAGTGATCTAACTGAGCCTGTGTATGGGACGTTGTATACTTAGTGCTTGTCGTCCTTCAGGTCACTCCTTGCATCCACTGGTGCTGTGCTGTAAACAGACAACTAGTCAAAATGAGTCACTTGTGTATGCAACACTTGTAGGAACAGTTCATGAGCTTACGGAGTGCATCTTTACAGCATTTAATAACATCAGAGGAGAGTGTGGCATCTTACAGAGGGTCGGACAAAACGTGGTTTGTCGTTGCACATTATGTAACGAAGTTGGTGGTCGTCACATTGAACATTTACTCTAAAGTAGTGCAGCCACTGATTCGATGTACAGTTTGATTGTACTCTACTGTTTTGTCAATAAAGCTTGTCATAAATACTGCATTCTGCTGTTTAATTAAGCATACCGACTGCATAGAACGTGCAAAGTGCTGTAAAAACTTTATATCACATTTCCGGCTATAGATTCCTACTCCTTTGAACTACTCCTTTGGATTTATCAGCTTTGATCAGCACTACATCATTTTTATGTAGCCATTCTCTTGCGTTTTTAATGCAATTGTGGAAATGTCTGCTCTTTATGTTGGCACTTCTTTCTTTAGTGGTGCTGAATCTTGTTTCCCATCTTACGTATTCTTGACTGGTAAGATTCAATTCCTTAATAATCGTTTCAATATTGGGAACAATAAATTCCAGGGTTGGTAAAGGAGCAGGAGCAAACAGTGGACCATATTTTAACGCTTCCAAGAGACACTTAGGAGGTGTGATATTATCCCATGCCGTTATAAAATCGTTATTATTAAATCGAGGTTTGACGTTCTGGTAATGTAATAACCATTTGAGTTTTTTGACATATTTACATTTTACACATTTTTCATATGAGCAGGCTAAGTTGACTACTATTTGGTTGACATCCATAAGAAGAACTGGGTCCTGCTTATACAAATCTTCTTCTAATTGAATTAGCGTATGTAATAAGGCATAATAATTTCGCCTAGAAGATCTGATAGCCTTATTAAGGCACAGGTATTTTAGTCTTGGTAATAAAGAAGTACAACCCATTGGCAGTCGTATCCTGTGAATGGAGTTAGGGAAAACATTAAGTCGGCATTGCGACAAAAATTAAAATTTTCCTTTTGTGCTGTATAGCTTGATAACTATTCTTCTGTATTCTTTGGCCAGTGTAGCCATTAGTGTAATAAAATAAAATAACTTACTGGAATATAAATACTTAAAATAATCAAAACACCTTAGTAATTCCAGCAACGAATTAATTCAGATTTCGTTTACGTTGGTGCCACCATGAGACTTTTAAAACAGAGGATTAAAGAACATAAGTATTCTATTACTTAAAACGTGGACAGCACAGTCCTTTCAGCCTTTGCTAAACATCAAGATGTTAATGTACAGTACATTGGGACAAAGCATCCATAATTAGGACAGCCACCAACAAACAAGTCCTTAATTTAAACATATTGAAAAACTTGAAATTTACAGGGCGCATATTAACAAAGGATGTATCAACCATAGAGACGCAGATAGTCTATCCTGCACATGGAAATCTTTTTACCACGACGATTAATGTTTTTTTTTTTTTTTTATTCTTTACCACGATTAATTTCTTAATGTTTTATTTATAATTTTGTTTTTTTTTACGTTTTTTAACGTTTTATTTACATTTTACATAATTAATTTTAATTTTTAAACCATTGTATTGCTTGCATTCTATTTTATGTTTGTTTTTGTTTTAAAGAGTCTTAACTGAAGAAGACTATTAAATATAGTCAAAAACGTTTTTATTTTATTAAATACTTCGTTGCTGGAATTACTAAGGTGTTTTGATTATTTTAAGTATTTATATTCCAGTAAGTTATTTTATTTTATTGTAAAAAATAAGAACTAAGTGTCAGTTTTCAGTTTTATTGGAAGGAAAATTAAGCTTTTTTTTTTTTTTTCCCAGAAATAATTTTGATATGAGTATCAATAAAGACTTATTTTAAAAGATTCAACATTTACTTCACTTTGCTGCTATTTAGGCTTGAGTAATGTAAAAAATTTTCTATCTAGATTAAACACTTTCTGAATAGTGGCTGACACCAGAGTTTTGATGTTAGAAGGCAGAAAGCTGAAGACTGAGTCTGTAAAGAAATATGACTGTGTATAGACTTAAAACAAATGGCATTGAATCTTCTAAAATCAATGAATTTTATAACCATAATTAAAGATAAATTTCAATTCACTGTGTGCTATTTATATAAACAATTCAATTCTTTGCTTTTTATAAGATGTTCCAAGAGTCCTAAATCATAAAACTGATTAAATAAGTGATGTAACTGATAANCAATGAATTTTATAACCATAATTAAAGATAAATTTCAATTCACTGTGTGCTATTTATATAAACAATTCAATTCTTTGCTTTTTATAAGATGTTCCAAGAGTCCTAAATCATAAAACTGATTAAATAAGTGATGTAACTGATAATGTAAGAAATATTTTTTTTCAGATACTTTATTTCTTGATTACAAACCCTGTTTTTGGGTAATCTGTATTCTAAAAATAAAAAATAACTTTTTTAAAATGACCACAAACTTAAAATATAAAAAATTTAAAAACATGTTAAGAAAAATACATTATAGAAATACCAAATATATAGAATTTTAATTTACAAAATGAACAAAAGTTTTTTACATTGATGTTTTAGCATTTACAATTATTTTAGCAGCAGTTCTATTTCCTCTAAGCTGGGACTTAATTTCTGATATTTTCTTTTTGCATCTTTCTTTGTCTTGAAAAGAGTTCTTTTCTGAGGGTCAATTTTTTTGTTACCTGGTACTGAATGGGCTGAAACAAAAGAAGACTTGTCTGTTACATCAACGGCTGAAAGCTGTGGACCCAAAGATTTTAGGGCTTTATCTACTACTACTAGTTGGCTCTCAGACATTGATTCCAGACCTGCTTCAAGATTTTTAAGAGCTTTCCTAACATTTTCTCGCAATCTTGAAGGTGTTGAACTTGACGGTGTGTTTAGTTTATCTACGAGCAATGATGACTTCCTTTCTTTTATCATAAAAAATAATCAATCTTTCATCAATCATTTCTGCACTTGATGAATTTAATAATTCATATTGCAATTCTGTATTAATGTGTTGTTCATTTTCTTTATGTTTTGTTGGAAATTGTTGCAATGCTTTAGTCTGAAGATATCTGCAAACTGTATGAATATGTTTGCACATGTTCCAATGAATGTTTGAGTCAAGACCTGTACAGGTGAAATGATAAATACATGCTTTACAGAGAACACATACTGTCTGGCACTTGCAGTCCTTAGTTACTTCTTCTATATGGTAAAGTTCTCTTTGTGATGAAGATTCTACAATCCAGCCATCTTCTTGTTCAAGGACCTGCAAACTTAAATTTTCACTCAGTTTATGGCATTTTAAGTCTCTTAATTTAGTAGTAACTTTGCCTTTGTGAAGTACTATCAATCTGTCAAACGTTTTATCTTTTACAAACTTCATGATAGCATTTATTGCCTTGTCTAGTCGTTTGACATTTTTGGCATGTAAATAAATATATTTCAAAGTCATGTGCATTCTTTCCAAATGGGCATTTGTGTTTAGACCACTCCACTTCCTGTGACAGTAAGCCCATGAGGTGGGATTTTTCATGTATACATTTGCAAAATATGTAGCAAAATCAATGGTATCTGGGTCTTCCTTAAGTTTCCTCATGATCTCATCTGCCAAGAGATAAAAAGCATCTTGGTCTCTTTCTTGAAGTAACACTTGTAATTTTAAGTAAGTTTCTGCTTGCTTTTCTATGATACAAATTTTATTGAGATTTCTTCTCCATGCTTGATCTACATGCCAGGTACAGAAGAGTCTTAACTGAGGCTGATTCATAAGTTGAATCCAAGCATTGAAAAGTGCTTCAGTCACGTAAGACATGAAAACCTTTGGAGATATTATTCCAACTTTTTCTTTAATGCTTTTGAAAAATAACTCATAAACAAGTTGATCAGTCCTGTTTGAAATAAGAAAGGCACAAGGGAATTCTTGTCTTATATCATCAATTATCAATAATGTGGTTAGTTTGTAAGGAACCAAGTCTGAGCTTTATTTTTATTTTACTTTTATTTTGCTTTCATTATATTTTGTTTGGGGCTTATGTTTAGTTAAGACGAAGGTTTCCTCACCATTCACCTTAGTAACTTAAAAATAGAAGAAAAACCAACTCACCGACGAAAGAAAAGCGCCGTAGAAAAACTCGCGCACACTTGCGCTTCCCAAGCGGAAAAAAGTAAGTCCGCACCGAGAAAAAAGGGGGGGGAAGACCCCACAACCCAGTTAGGAATCGCTAAACCTTAAAAGAATAAAGCATCCCGATAATTGTTAAAAAGAATAATGTAAAAGGTTAGCGAAGTATTGTCGGAAAATAATCTGCCAGATAAACAAGAAAAATTTAATGTTACAGATAAGTATGTAAATGAGGAGAGTGAGCTCATTCAGAATTGTGACGTCACCTCACACTATAAAGCCTCTAACTCAAGTGAAAACGAACGAGGTGAATTCCTGATAGCAACGAGCTTTGGTGAGCTTCGTAGCAGTGAACGAGAGAGGTGTCCGATAGGATTTTGAAGTTATTCGATTTGTGGATCGACGATTATAGAAAGTCTTGAGAGTTTGAGGAAATAGGTTCCTAGTATATTGAGGTGACGATTAGGATCTTTAATTTATAAGAATTATTGTTTATAAGTTAATTCTTTGATTTTGTCGAATTCCAAAGGGGAATAGAATTAAGTTAGAAATAGATTGATTTGAGTTTGTCGGATTGATTTTGTTGAATTTCACTGAATAAATTATTGTTTGATTTTTACTAAATACTGTATATAGTTTATTACTAGAAGTTTAATTAAATATTTGATTTTGTTATTGACAAACTTTGTCATTATTTAATTCGGTGCACGCTTAAAGTCCAGGCCTGGCACACTAACGCGAATCCGCGTAAAGTACGCGTTAGGGAACGGCTATTTCCGGCACACAGTAGTGTCGATAATCGTTGGAAAGTCGGAAAAATAATATAGTACTTTACAAGTTCAAAGCCATAACTGTTCATTCCATATGTCCCATCTATGCATATACAATCAGCACTAAATTGTTTCAACATGTGTTGCTGAATATCATTCATTATTATTAAAACAAAGTCTTCTTTTACTAATTTTGTTTCATTTGAATAGATGCTTTGGGGTTTATAAAAAACACAAGAGTCATTATTAATTTTCATTTTATTTACCCAAACATCTACAGATATTCCATCATCTTGGTGCTTTACACCATCTTTTTGTAAATTATATGCTTGTTCAATAGAGAGGTTGAGGCACAAGTTCAAACGTTAAACATGTACGGGTAGCAGAAGTACACGTTTCAAGTCCAAGTAAAAATCGTTGAGGCACACGTTCATAACATCACGTGACTCAGTGAACATCGCGCATTGACTTACGGGAAATAAGTTGAAAAAAATGGCGGAAGCAAAATAAATCATAATTTTAACCCCAAACACAAAAATGAAGACGTTTAAGCCGATCGTGTACTCACCAAGCTACACATAGCAAACGCCATTATCGATGGTCCAGAACTGCCAGATGGCGGCGCTCACCCGTTACCCGTACACGTTTTGGGCTAAATACGTGCGCCTCAACCTCTAATGTTGTAGAGATCCTTTTTTGTTAACAGATGTAGTCTGTGAAGTGTAGAATCAGAGAGAGAATCTCTGATTTCATCAAGAATACAATGGTATTTTTTCAGCTATTTTACTTGCTAATGAAAAATGTTGTGATGCTGTTCAAGTTAAAATGTCCCATGTCTATGTCATGACCCACATGGGTTTTTGTGAATTTTACAGTATATTTACCATTTTCTTTTTGAATGACCTTCATTCCTGCTGGGCAGTAAGCATTTATTTTGCTGCTACCCTGGGTCTTAAGATGACTAATTCCATTACCTTTGGGTATATATATTCCAGAGTGGTGACAAGAAAAATAGTTTGACTTGACCACAGTTCAAAATGTTCGAATTATCAGGTGTTTCAATTATTTTACCATGGTCATTCCGGAGATGATAACGTAGCTGGTGATTTTGATTGAATTTCCTGGAACATAAAGGACAAGGAAAATTAAACACTTTCTGCAACTTCTTTGGATTCACTAACTCGTTCATGTGATTTGGGTGAAAATTGTTTGCATGCACTTTTAAATAACAAAACTCTTTAAAAGTCTTTCTGCACAATGTGCATGTGTAACTATTTACAATGTCAGTTTCTGCAGAAGCCATAAGTTCAGGTATTTCATTCACAATGTCAGCCATCTCAACAATTAGGACAAATGCTACACACAAAAATATGAAATAAGCCTAATGAAATAAATACGTAAACTAAAAACTTAATAAATGAAATTTGCAAAAAACTGAATGCTAATAATAAGTAAAATCAATAATAAAACAGATGTTAATAAAATGAAGTTTGTATTTAATAAGCTACGATCGACATCTCTTCTTTGGATATCAAACAAACTACTACTAGACCCAAGGACCTTACAGTAGACCGATTGCTTACTGTACACAAGTTTATTACCTCCAAAATGGGCTGACAGAGAGAGCCTCTATCAGAGTAAGTTGGAACGCGCCCGGTCGCTAGACGCTTGTTTTGCCTCTGAGCTTCACACCCTCTTTTGTTTGCGTATGTTCCAGGAATTGGTAGTCTTACTCCCAAGGGAGAAGGTTTAAGAGAGAATGTTCTAGAAAAAATTTTTTGAACAAAGAGATAGGAAGGATTTTAAAACTAATTCAAATAAAAATATACAAAAGATCTACACAATCATGGCTGATGGGCACACTATAGTAGTAATCTTCAACCTTTCCCAATGGTTGAATTTTTGATAAAATTACTTCTTTCATCAGAGCATTGAACCTATGCATGATCTACATACATACATAATCTTTTATTAATGTATATTGCATACATGCTTGGCTCCACCATGCATAACCAAGCTGATAAAAAAAATAACCTAGTAAATCAAGCAATGTTGTAGGAAATAACAAAGAAATAAAATTAAGAAAGAATGAACATATTTAAAATATTTACAGTAATACAAAGATTTATTCGCTTAGGTTATCTACCTCAGCAACTAACTGTGGTAATTAACAAAGGAGGTACAACTTATACATAAGGACTAGAGAATAGGTAAAGATTGGTCTGCAACTGCTTGCAGTGACTGTCGAAAGCTTGGAGTATCTATTGACCAAATTTTTGAAGAGATGAAAAAGATCTTTGTTCTTAATTAGCAGGCTGGAGTCTCAAGGCCAGGTATTGCCAGTGTCAAAGGTCAGGAACTGGAGTTGATGTTCATTTGCAAGCATAATACGTTTGTAGATATAGTGTTGGTACCTGTCTTCCACTCCACATATAGGACAAAGCTTATCAGTTCTTCTGATAAATCTGAAGAAATACGAATTAAATTTCCCATGGTTAGTGAGAAATTGTGTAAGAAAAAAATTAGGAGAAAACCACTTATAGGTAAGTAAATTTGAGATGTTAGGAAGAAATTTGTATGTAGTGGCATTGTTGTTTTGATTTCACATTTTTTGCCATGTAGCAATCACATCTTCCCAAAAAATTCTCTTGATCATAGTAGTACTAATTTTGTCATAAGTGATTGGTAGTTGGAGATTACTAGCATCTTTCTTTGCCAAGAAATCCACCCTCTCAAGTGCTTTGGTGGGCCTTCGTCCAATTTATTTGATAGTTGTTGTCAGATGATTGAATAATGTTATGTATGTCACTGGTGATAGGATTAAGTGGTAATTGTTAATACAGGCAATGGAGGATGCACTGTCAGTTACAATAATGATGCTGGTGTTTTTGTAATGTTTTGATGACCAGATAAGTGCCAGTTTTATGGCTGTCATCTCTGCCTGAAAGACAGTGCAAATTTTATCCAAATGGAATTGTTGATATGTAATTTCATTGATACCCTGAAGCAAAGCTGCAGCCAACATATTCATCAATTTTTGATCCATCACACAGTGGGGCCAAATCTAAAACAGCTGGCCAAAAGTCAAAAGCATTATAAATTTGGCTGAAAGTCAGTACTCAGGGGTTTTCAGGGTCGCTGATTACGAATCCAAAGTCAAAATTTGAAAAAAAAAACAAAATGGCGGATTTAACATGAACCACTTTTATAGAAAAAGTACAAACTAAATCCAAATGTTGAATAAAATAATAAATGAATTTAACATGGCCAATGGTAATTTATGTACAAAACTCACGGAGACGACCTTTCCTTTGTGATTTTATGAACTGCAGATGGTGTAAACAACGGAAAGGACTGAAGCAAAGTTTTACCTTTGTTAAAAGTTGTAATTATATTTATTATATTATTAATAAACATAAATTATTGTTGGCCATGTTAAATTCATTTTTTATTTTATTTAAAATGTATTATTGTGATTGTGGCTAGGACACCAGATGACGCTTTTATCATATTTTACATTTTTTTACTACGGAGGCAGTAGCCTAAAAGGAAAGGTCATCTCCATGAGTTTTGTGATTTTATGAACTGTGGATGGTGTAAACAATGGAAAGGACTGAAGCAAAGTTTTACCTTTGTTAAAAATTGTAATTATATTTATTATATTATTAAATCCATATATTGTTTAATATGATAAAATGTACACTTGGTTGATTAAAAGTTCATGCATCGTTATCTGAAGAATAATTTGATTCACAATCAGATGATTCAACTTTGAAATTGCTGGCGCTTCCTATACTTGCTGGTATACATGGCACAACTAACAATAAAACTGCTTCTGGGAGCAACGACTTTGAGTTTTTTTCGAGGTAATTCATGCAAACTCTAAATAAACTGATTGGATATTAATAATAAGCGTAAAATAATGTCTTCCATTGTTTTGGCTCGGGAAAATTTTCTTGCAAAATCTTGAAACTTTTTAATGTATTTATTAGTACTCTCTAGAGTGTCTTCAAACATCTGCCCTAGCAGTAATACCGATGAATTTATCACATCTGCGCCATGAATCAATATCTTATGTATCGAAGTTGGCATGTTTTTGTTGTTAAGTTCCATCGAGTCGTCGTCGACTCCTGGTGACTTCATGGACAAGTCTTCTCCATCTTGATCTTTCCCTTGTTGTCTCTCGTAGCTCATCCAGCTTCATTTCTGTGACTTTTTCTATTTCTTCTATCCATCTTATCCGTTGCCTTCCCCTCTTCCTTCTACCTTCCACTTTTCCCAGCATAATAGTCTTCTCTAGGGAAACTTCTTTACGCATCACATGTCCAAAGTAGGTCAATTTTTGTTTTAAGATTCTTGACTCTAAGGAGAAGCTTGGCTTAATTTTTTCTAAAATTGAGATATTTGTTTTCTTTTCTGTCCATGGAACTCTAAGTAATCTTCTCCATACCCATAATTCGAATGCATCTATCATTTTTCTTTCCTTTTTCCTTAGAGTCCAGCTTTCACAGCCATATAATGTTACAGGGAAAACCATTGCTTCTACAATTCTTTTCTTAGTATGAATGGAAATGTCTTTATCTTTCATTATCTTGGTGAGATTTGCCATGGCTGTTCTGCCAAGGTTAATTCTCCTCCTGATTTCTCCTTCACAACTTCCATTCCTTTCTATCTTTGAGCCCAAAAGTATGTAACTTTCTACCACTTCAATTCTTTCACCATCCACAATGAAATCTTTTAACTCTTTAGTTGACATTACTTTAGTTTTCTTTACATTTAGCTTCATACCAAATTTAGCACTTTCTTTTTTTTACCCTTATGATAATTTTTTCTAAATCTGCTTTGCCATGGATATAACTGCACAAAGTAGCGAGCTGTCTGTAAGGCATAATCTTGAAATTTTATGAAATCAATTTTATGGCCACACAAAATTGTCTGCAATGTGACATGGAAATGCTTAATCAAGTCCTCATCAACCCCTGTAATAGCAGCAGAAATGTTTGAGTTTTCGAAAAATCATTGAACGGTATTCCTGTTATTTGAGCTACCTATACCAGGCTTTGGTTGATTGACTATTAGGCCCAATTCTATATGGAAACCCTTCTGTATATTTGTTTTTTGGATTCTTATTTGTTCTTTTTCTTTATCACTATGCGCTTGCCACTTTTTGATTTCAAGCTTATATGCACATTCAAAAAACTGTATTCATGCATGCAAAGTTGATAATCCAAACTAATTGATCTTCAGAGACTTCCTTTTCTAGAATGCATTTATATTGTTAGTCTTTTGAAGTTGCTTTGCATAAATAGCATCGTTAAGTAGACATGTAAGGTTTGTGATGCTATCACACACAATGTCTATTATTGTGAAAGCAAGTCGGAAAGAAACTCTTATTTCTTTTCCATGTATGATCTTTTCGAAAGGGAAAAGATTGTTCTCTTGCTGTTTAATATATTCCATTTTGTCACGAGTGGCTTCAGGACTCTCATGAAAAAAATTGGATCCTAATTGGTGTATAAAAACGAGGAGATGACTGCCTTGGATTTTTCCATACAAGTCTAGTGTTTGTTTCTTGGTCATCTGATACAAGATGCAGTGGAACAATTGAGGTAAAAAAATATTAACATTGGACTTGTTTCCATTATCATTGGTAAACTTTTACTTGTACTTACTTTGGGCAGAAGTGCCATTGCAGTCCCACTTACAAATTAAATTAAAGTTGCAAACATTTTCAGGAGATAAACTTTTGACAATATTCATTTGTGTTAATAATAATCTATAAGTTGTGTGATTCAGCAAATCTAGCAATTTTATCTCAGCACTACATTCATTGATAGAGATATCTGACTTAGGCAGATAACATTTGATCTTGGCTTGATATGGCAATTTATATGGTGGAAATAAATTACAGCTGTTCTCTTTGCTTCTATTACAAAGCCCCTGATATTGTGATTTTGATAATTTTAGTTCCACTGTGAGCAACAGAGTAGAATCAGCAGATAGTCGTTTCTTGAATTGTATCTATGGACTTCTTATACTTCTTAGCTTTAGATGGCTTCCCAATCCCACATCACGGGCAGTTTTTGAAGCATCTAATTTCCCAGATGATCGAAGGCTCATTTGAGTCGCATATGTCAATTCTTCCATACTATTTCTTTCATGTAATTCTTCAGTCCTTCGTTTTGTCTGGTTACTACACTCTGCAAATTCTGAAGAAGGCCAACCCAAATTATGTGATTTTTCTGGAGATTGTTTAGTTTCTTCAAAAGAAACAAACATGCTCAACCATTCAGAAAAATTTTGCAGAAATTTGCCTTTATTTCTTGATACTTGCTGCCACTTTTTATGCAAGTCTTGCAAAAACTTGCAGAGGACAGGTTTTACATTGTCTGGTAGAGCAAAGGGGCATTGAAATTTAACAGACATGAACTTTTCAATCTCTACATATGTTTCAGTCACTTTGTCATTCAAATGACCTTTCAATATCAAAATAATTTCCTGTCTTGTTAGGCCACATGCTTCACGTTCATCAGTGACAGATTCTGAAATTGGAAAATATAATATCTATATAGATGGATAATTCCATATTCAACCTTGTTACTATTTTTTATTCCAAAATAATATTTGAAAAGTAAAAATATTCATAAAAGTGAATTACGTATCATATAACTCAAGATTATCATACGTATCATAAATTTCATGCATATTATAACAAAAATATTTTAGTAAAAGAAAATATGTTATTCATATTTATATAAATTTATTTACATATAAATGCATTTAGAAAGAACTTTTGAACACCTGCATGTAATTATCAATTCTTAGATGGAAAACTTGTAATAAAACTTGTCCGTCATAAATGTTTATTGTACTGTAAGCATAAAGGTTTCCAATACTGGAATCTTTTGTTGTTACTTGTTTGTTTCAAGAATCTATGACTCTGCTTTTCCTTTGAATAATTGTAGAATATCTTACTCTTAGTCTTGATCTTGCTCTATCAAGTCATGTGTCTGCAGTTTTTTCTTTCTTTCTTGGATATCTGTCAGCCAATTCTTCTATTTTATCCAGTAAGTTTATGATAATTCTACTTATTCCAGAGAATATTATCTAATTTTTAGTGTGTAACATAGAAAAATAAGATGTGTTTTTAGATGATTTTTCTTATTTGTAGAATCCATTGACATTCTTCACTCCAGTTATTGGATTATAGTTATTCAGCTGATTTTATCAAGTAAGTTTATGATGATTCTATTTATTTTGGAGAATATTATCTAATTTTTAGTGCATAACGTAGAAAAACAGACAGGTTTTTAGATGATTTTTCTTATTGGCAGGATGTCTGATAGTGATGTCGATTATATGACACACTCTGAAAGTGATGTCGATTATATGGCACTCTCTGAAAGTGATTCAGATAATTATATACCTAGCACCGACGACTCCAGCAGTTCTGATGATGCAAGAAGTGATACTGCTCGAACTTGGCGTGAAACGGACACCAACGTGTTTCCAGCACCTCCTCCACGATTTCCGTTTACAGGAACTCCTGGATGTCGGTTCTCTAGAAATCAAGTCACAGAACCATTAGATTATTTTAAATTATTTTTTGATGACGAATTGGTGAACCTTATAACATCAGAAACAAATAGGCATGCACTAACGAGGTCAAAGACATCCAGGAAACAGTGGCACCCTGTTTCAATAGAGGAAATGTATTTATTTTTTAGTATTATAATATTGCAAGGTATTATTAATAAACCGAATGAGAGGATGTATTGGACCACGAACGAAACACTTTCCACTCCAAGTTTTCAAAGATTAATGTCAAGAAATCATTTTTGGGAAATAAAACAAAATTTGAATTTTACTGATAATCAAAATTATAATCCACGAATTCATCCAAACCCTAAACTCAATAAAATTTGGCCGATAGTTGAAAATTTACGTTCAAAATGTTCTCATCTCTATGTCCCAGAAAGGAATATAGTGGTGGATGAGAGTTTAATGCTTTTCAAAGGACATCTTTCGTGGAAACAATACATGCCTCCTGAACGGTCTCGTTTCGGTGTGAAATTCTATATGTTATGTGAGTCCTCATCTGGCTATATATATAATTTTACTATTTACACTGGAAAAAATACAGTTCTAAACGAAAAATATAGAGATATGCCACTAACTTCAAAAATAGTATTGTCATTAGCAGACTCGTTGTTAGGCAAGGGCTATTGTCTAACAACAGATTATTTTTATTCTTCCCCACATTTAGCTGATTATCTGGTAACGGTCCAGACAGATTTCTTTGGAACTGTGCGAGTGAACAGACATCAGGTCCCGGCTGAGATTCAAAATAAAAAATTGAAAAAGGGAGAAACAGTAGCGATGCAGAGAGGTAAAGTGATGATTATGAAGTGGCAACACAAAAGAGCTGTCACTTTACTCTCTACGGTCCACAATCCTGTCATGGTTAGTAAAAAAACTCCTGCCGGTAGAATAATTACAAAGCCACAAGTTGTTGTCGACTATAACGACACAATGGGAGGTGTTGATCTTTTAGATCAGCATCTTCGAGATTATCCAGTGGAAAGAAAAAGGGGGAAGAAATTTTACATAAAAGTATTTTTCCATTTGCTAGATATTTGTATATTTAATTCTTTTGTGTTGTATAAAATAAATGGTGGCAGAATGGAACATTTACAATTTAAAATAAATATTATTGAAAGAATTATAGAGGAGTATCACACCGAAACGAGGGTTACCAGACATGGTCAGCCGAGAACTTCAGGTCCGAGAACTCCAGGTCCACTTAGACTTATGGAAAGACATTTCCCGGACCTTCTTCCGGCGACCGACAGAAAAAAAGCTCCCACTAGACGCTGTGCCGTATGTAAAACTAAGCATGACGGTGCAGGGAAAAAACTAAGGAAGGAAACGAGGTACTATTGTCAAGTTTGTGATGTGCCTTTGTGTGCAGCACCCTGCTTTAAAATTTACCACACAGTGGAAAAATATTAATCAAAATTTACTTTCTTTTACACCAGAAAGTTTTTTCATTCTTATGTCACAGTATTTTTTGAAAGCTTTCCTTATTTTAACTGTAAATAATAATTAAATATATATTTTTATTCTTAATTTTTGAAAGCTTTCCTTATTTTAACTGTAAATAATAATTAAATATATATTTTTATTCATAATTTTTTAAAGCTTTCCTTATTTTAACTGTAAATAATATTTAAATATATATTTTTATTCGTAATTTTTGAAAGCTTTCCTTATTTTAACTGTAAATAATATTTAAATATATACAGTAGAGCGTCGATTATCCGAATCAATTGGGGACTGGGATTGTTCGGAAGATCGACGTTTCGGATAACCGATTATGTACGAAAAAATATTTTAATTTATCCCATCTTGACATTTTTCTCCGTTGCGTGTCGCTTCGCGTTGAATTTTCGTCAATGTTAAGCCTAACGAAGACTATTCTATCATTAAAAATTATTTTTTTATTTTGTACGAACAAAATAAATATATTGAAAAATATAAAAACAATCAATCTTTTTTATTAAGGCACCATAGAAGTACATGCCCGGTACCACGAGGCATAGCTGGGCTACCAAACAAGATTACAGGTGAATTACAAGTTGTAAGAATTTATGCAATGCGATACAGCAGTTGAATGAAATGTAATAAAATAGTACAAAGCAGAAATCATTAAAGCTAGTGAAAAATACAATAAAAACAAATAAGAGTATAATTAAAACTAAATTATAAATAACTGTAGAAAAGGTAAATAAACAAAATTAATTAGCGTGTTTACACAATGGAATATAATAAAATAGTGAATAGTACAATATATATTATGTAATGACAGGGGAAAAAATATAAACAAAAGTATGTACATATATACAGGACATGGGCAGCTAATGGCTGCAAGTGATACAAAATATTACAGGTAGTAAGTACAGAGAAGGGTTACTGGTTGGAGGTGGTAGTAGAGATAACACCATGTTTTTTCACAAGTGCATCAAAGGCTGTATACAGTTCTTTGTTCTGAAGAAACTCCTTGTGGTGGCATGGCCAGGGGATGTTATTTTTGGAGGCTATTAGCTTGATGTTCGAACGTTCAGTTTCAGGCACACACAGCTGAAAATGTGATGGTCAGCGTCATCAACTTCATTACAAATGGCGCACAGTGGGGTGTCCTTGATGGCAAACCTGTGGAGATAACTGGAGAACTTTCCATGATTTGTTAGGAACTGACATAAGTGGGTATTGAGCTGTATCCAGTTGAATTTGAAGTAATCCTTAATGTCCGGAATGTAACTAAAAGTAGTGTTATTGTGGTTGTCATTCCAGTTACACTGCCAAGAGTAAAGAAGATCTTTGAAAAGCAAGTTTTTAATAGCAGAGTGACTAATTTTGTCATAGGCTATGTCCAAGGAGTCATTGTTGGCTGCTGCCTTTGCCAGTTGGTCAGCCCGCTCATTTCCGGCAGTACCCTGATGACCACGAGTCCAATTAATGTAGAGGTGGTTTGTTGAGTTGCTGAGGTGCTTTCTGATGTTAGTTGCGATGGGGTGTTGTTTCTTGCTGTTAATGATGGAAAGAGCAGAAAGACAGTCTGTGAGTATGACTATAGTTGCATGCTTGTAGTGTGCCGAAACCCAGTTGGTGGCCTTGCCAATAGCAGTTAGCTCTGCCTGAAATGCAGTACAGTGGTCAGATAACCTGTACTGTTCACTGTGAATTTCATGGTCATCCTTGTAAGCCACGAAGGCATAGCCAACCTTGCCGTCAAGTTTTGAGCCATCTGTAAATATTTGGACATCGCTGTACTGCGGAGGGTTGGTGTTTAGATAGTTGTGAACATATGGAGGAATGGTGTCAACAGAATTGTTTCTTTCAAGCTGATTAGCTGAGATGTTGCAGCTGAATGTGCTGATATCATGACCCCATTTAAGGCTCCAGAAGTTGTAGTAGAGATTGATGATATCCACAATAGGCGGCTTGCGAGTAATGACTTGTAGGCTGACGTTTGGTGTCGTCCTGTAGGCCTTTGAGATAAGTAGAAGGGCCCTGCGCTGGGAAGAGAGAAGTTTTCTTTTGAGGTGGACTTTATGTGCAGCCCACACCCAGCTACCACAAGCATAAGTGACAATGGGTACATATATCTGATTATAGATAAGGCTGAGAGCATCGGATTTTAACCCCCATTTGCTCTTTGCAATCTTTGCAAAAGCATTGAAGATTTGACCAGTACGTTTAGAGATGTCTTTGATGTGTTCGTCCCAGCTCAGGCTATGGTCCAGTAGCACGCCCAGGTACCTTATGGATTTCACAACCTTAATACTCTTGTTGTCCATTTTAATGGTGGGCACGCGACGATAAAGGTTGGGGTTGCCTGGTTTGTTCATCACCATTGCCCTGGTTTTATCAGGGTTAAAGTGGAGTTTATGCTTTTGACCCCATTCATGAATCATGGCTAGGGTTTCAGTTCCTTTTGTTTCCAAATCTGCTCGAGACCTGCCACCAATGAGTATAAGAACATCGTCAGCATAAGCGGTGGTACTGTCCTGGCCAAAGTTCTGGGACAAGAAAATGTTGAAAGTAAGGTTCCACAACAAAGGGCTGCATACTGATCCCTGAGGGCAGCCGCAGAGAATATTTCTGCGTATGGCGGTGGTTCCGTGTTGAAGGTATGCACTGCGATTGTTGAGGTAGTCTTTGAGAACATTATAAATATTGGCTGGGCAATTGGTCATTTTTAGCTGATAGAGAATAAGTGGCCACCAGGCACTGTCAAAAGCTTTGCTGATGTCCAGGCTGATGGCTAAGACATATTTGTGACAATTGAGTAAACCTTTGATATTTTGGACTGCATGATGGATGGCATCAGTGGAGGAGCGCTGATGTCTGAAACCAAACTGCGTGTCATTAAGAGTATGATTGTTTTCTACATGCCAGTTAAACGGTCTGTAATCAGGCGTTCCAGTACTTTACCAAAGACAGGAAGAAGCGAGATAGGCCTTGAGTTATGTGGGCATCCCGGTTTTGGGACTGGGACAATTTTAACTGTTTTCCATCCAGCAGGGAATATGCCATAGTGTAGGCAACAGTTGTACATATTTATAATATGATCTGGTATCATTCTCCATATTGCTTTGGCAATTTTTGCATTGATACCATCAATACCTGGTGATTTCTTGTCGTTGAGACTGGCTATGGCATTATCGATTTCATGATGTTGGAAGGCCGGGGTGTTATTGGTACATATAGGATTGTTCATCTCCTCACAAATGTTCCTCTGCCAGTGTGTGTCAGAGTCAGGGTTGTCGACAATACAGAAAGAGTCCATTTGTTTATTGAGAGCATCAAGGAAGTTGTTGGTGTTAGGATCATTGTTGTCAGTAGTGAGGATGCATGTTTTCTTCAGCTTATTAGTGCAAAGCTTGGTCAGGTAGCTTCAAGGATCAGAAGATGCAGATGTGCAGAATTGTCTCCAGGAGTAAATCTTGGCCTTCTTGATTTCAGATTTGTAGAGTTTCTGGTGGTCAAGGAAGTGCTGCTTTAGGTTGGTGCGTTCTGGTTCAGTCTTGCAGTTTTGATATGTTTTCCTCAATTTATTGTTAGNTTAATTCTCCTCCTGATTTCTCCTTCACAACTTCCATTCCTTTCTATCTTTGAGCCCAAAAGTATGTAACTTTCTACCACTTCAATTCTTTCACCATCCACAATGAAATCTTTTAACTCTTTAGTTGACATTACTTTAGTTTTCTTTACATTTAGCTTCATACCAAATTTAGCACTTTCTTTTTTTTACCCTTATGATAATTTTTTCTAAATCTGCTTTGCCATGGATATAACTGCACAAAGTAGCGAGCTGTCTGTAAGGCATAATCTTGAAATTTTATGAAATCAATTTTATGGCCACACAAAATTGTCTGCAATGTGACATGGAAATGCTTAATCAAGTCCTCATCAACCCCTGTAATAGCAGCAGAAATGTTTGAGTTTTCGAAAAATCATTGAACGGTATTCCTGTTATTTGAGCTACCTATACCAGGCTTTGGTTGATTGACTATTAGGCCCAATTCTATATGGAAACCCTTCTGTATATTTGTTTTTTGGATTCTTATTTGTTCTTTTTCTTTATCACTATGCGCTTGCCACTTTTTGATTTCAAGCTTATATGCACATTCAAAAAACTGTATTCATGCATGCAAAGTTGATAATCCAAACTAATTGATCTTCAGAGACTTCCTTTTCTAGAATGCATTTATATTGTTAGTCTTTTGAAGTTGCTTTGCATAAATAGCATCGTTAAGTAGACATGTAAGGTTTGTGATGCTATCACACACAATGTCTATTATTGTGAAAGCAAGTCGGAAAGAAACTCTTATTTCTTTTCCATGTATGATCTTTTCGAAAGGGAAAAGATTGTTCTCTTGCTGTTTAATATATTCCATTTTGTCACGAGTGGCTTCAGGACTCTCATGAAAAAAATTGGATCCTAATTGGTGTATAAAAACGAGGAGATGACTGCCTTGGATTTTTCCATACAAGTCTAGTGTTTGTTTCTTGGTCATCTGATACAAGATGCAGTGGAACAATTGAGGTAAAAAAATATTAACATTGGACTTGTTTCCATTATCATTGGTAAACTTTTACTTGTACTTACTTTGGGCAGAAGTGCCATTGCAGTCCCACTTACAAATTAAATTAAAGTTGCAAACATTTTCAGGAGATAAACTTTTGACAATATTCATTTGTGTTAATAATAATCTATAAGTTGTGTGATTCAGCAAATCTAGCAATTTTATCTCAGCACTACATTCATTGATAGAGATATCTGACTTAGGCAGATAACATTTGATCTTGGCTTGATATGGCAATTTATATGGTGGAAATAAATTACAGCTGTTCTCTTTGCTTCTATTACAAAGCCCCTGATATTGTGATTTTGATAATTTTAGTTCCACTGTGAGCAACAGAGTAGAATCAGCAGATAGTCGTTTCTTGAATTGTATCTATGGACTTCTTATACTTCTTAGCTTTAGATGGCTTCCCAATCCCACATCACGGGCAGTTTTTGAAGCATCTAATTTCCCAGATGATCGAAGGCTCATTTGAGTCGCATATGTCAATTCTTCCATACTATTTCTTTCATGTAATTCTTCAGTCCTTCGTTTTGTCTGGTTACTACACTCTGCAAATTCTGAAGAAGGCCAACCCAAATTATGTGATTTTTCTGGAGATTGTTTAGTTTCTTCAAAAGAAACAAACATGCTCAACCATTCAGAAAAATTTTGCAGAAATTTGCCTTTATTTCTTGATACTTGCTGCCACTTTTTATGCAAGTCTTGCAAAAACTTGCAGAGGACAGGTTTTACATTGTCTGGTAGAGCAAAGGGGCATTGAAATTTAACAGACATGAACTTTTCAATCTCTACATATGTTTCAGTCACTTTGTCATTCAAATGACCTTTCAATATCAAAATAATTTCCTGTCTTGTTAGGCCACATGCTTCACGTTCATCAGTGACAGATTCTGAAATTGGAAAATATAATATCTATATAGATGGATAATTCCATATTCAACCTTGTTACTATTTTTTATTCCAAAATAATATTTGAAAAGTAAAAATATTCATAAAAGTGAATTACGTATCATATAACTCAAGATTATCATACGTATCATAAATTTCATGCATATTATAACAAAAATATTTTAGTAAAAGAAAATATGTTATTCATATTTATATAAATTTATTTACATATAAATGCATTTAGAAAGAACTTTTGAACACCTGCATGTAATTATCAATTCTTAGATGGAAAACTTGTAATAAAACTTGTCCGTCATAAATGTTTATTGTACTGTAAGCATAAAGGTTTCCAATACTGGAATCTTTTGTTGTTACTTGTTTGTTTCAAGAATCTATGACTCTGCTTTTCCTTTGAATAATTGTAGAATATCTTACTCTTAGTCTTGATCTTGCTCTATCAAGTCATGTGTCTGCAGTTTTTTCTTTCTTTCTTGGATATCTGTCAGCCAATTCTTCTATTTTATCCAGTAAGTTTATGATAATTCTACTTATTCCAGAGAATATTATCTAATTTTTAGTGTGTAACATAGAAAAATAAGATGTGTTTTTAGATGATTTTTCTTATTTGTAGAATCCATTGACATTCTTCACTCCAGTTATTGGATTATAGTTATTCAGCTGATTTTATCAAGTAAGTTTATGATGATTCTATTTATTTTGGAGAATATTATCTAATTTTTAGTGCATAACGTAGAAAAACAGACAGGTTTTTAGATGATTTTTCTTATTGGCAGGATGTCTGATAGTGATGTCGATTATATGACACACTCTGAAAGTGATGTCGATTATATGGCACTCTCTGAAAGTGATTCAGATAATTATATACCTAGCACCGACGACTCCAGCAGTTCTGATGATGCAAGAAGTGATACTGCTCGAACTTGGCGTGAAACGGACACCAACGTGTTTCCAGCACCTCCTCCACGATTTCCGTTTACAGGAACTCCTGGATGTCGGTTCTCTAGAAATCAAGTCACAGAACCATTAGATTATTTTAAATTATTTTTTGATGACGAATTGGTGAACCTTATAACATCAGAAACAAATAGGCATGCACTAACGAGGTCAAAGACATCCAGGAAACAGTGGCACCCTGTTTCAATAGAGGAAATGTATTTATTTTTTAGTATTATAATATTGCAAGGTATTATTAATAAACCGAATGAGAGGATGTATTGGACCACGAACGAAACACTTTCCACTCCAAGTTTTCAAAGATTAATGTCAAGAAATCATTTTTGGGAAATAAAACAAAATTTGAATTTTACTGATAATCAAAATTATAATCCACGAATTCATCCAAACCCTAAACTCAATAAAATTTGGCCGATAGTTGAAAATTTACGTTCAAAATGTTCTCATCTCTATGTCCCAGAAAGGAATATAGTGGTGGATGAGAGTTTAATGCTTTTCAAAGGACATCTTTCGTGGAAACAATACATGCCTCCTGAACGGTCTCGTTTCGGTGTGAAATTCTATATGTTATGTGAGTCCTCATCTGGCTATATATATAATTTTACTATTTACACTGGAAAAAATACAGTTCTAAACGAAAAATATAGAGATATGCCACTAACTTCAAAAATAGTATTGTCATTAGCAGACTCGTTGTTAGGCAAGGGCTATTGTCTAACAACAGATTATTTTTATTCTTCCCCACATTTAGCTGATTATCTGGTAACGGTCCAGACAGATTTCTTTGGAACTGTGCGAGTGAACAGACATCAGGTCCCGGCTGAGATTCAAAATAAAAAATTGAAAAAGGGAGAAACAGTAGCGATGCAGAGAGGTAAAGTGATGATTATGAAGTGGCAACACAAAAGAGCTGTCACTTTACTCTCTACGGTCCACAATCCTGTCATGGTTAGTAAAAAAACTCCTGCCGGTAGAATAATTACAAAGCCACAAGTTGTTGTCGACTATAACGACACAATGGGAGGTGTTGATCTTTTAGATCAGCATCTTCGAGATTATCCAGTGGAAAGAAAAAGGGGGAAGAAATTTTACATAAAAGTATTTTTCCATTTGCTAGATATTTGTATATTTAATTCTTTTGTGTTGTATAAAATAAATGGTGGCAGAATGGAACATTTACAATTTAAAATAAATATTATTGAAAGAATTATAGAGGAGTATCACACCGAAACGAGGGTTACCAGACATGGTCAGCCGAGAACTTCAGGTCCGAGAACTCCAGGTCCACTTAGACTTATGGAAAGACATTTCCCGGACCTTCTTCCGGCGACCGACAGAAAAAAAGCTCCCACTAGACGCTGTGCCGTATGTAAAACTAAGCATGACGGTGCAGGGAAAAAACTAAGGAAGGAAACGAGGTACTATTGTCAAGTTTGTGATGTGCCTTTGTGTGCAGCACCCTGCTTTAAAATTTACCACACAGTGGAAAAATATTAATCAAAATTTACTTTCTTTTACACCAGAAAGTTTTTTCATTCTTATGTCACAGTATTTTTTGAAAGCTTTCCTTATTTTAACTGTAAATAATAATTAAATATATATTTTTATTCATAATTTTTTAAAGCTTTCCTTATTTTAACTGTAAATAATATTTAAATATATATTTTTATTCGTAATTTTTGAAAGCTTTCCTTATTTTAACTGTAAATAATATTTAAATATATACAGTAGAGCGTCGATTATCCGAATCAATTGGGGACTGGGATTGTTCGGAAGATCGACGTTTCGGATAACCGATTATGTACGAAAAAATATTTTAATTTATCCCATCTTGACATTTTTCTCCGTTGCGTGTCGCTTCGCGTTGAATTTTCGTCAATGTTAAGCCTAACGAAGACTATTCTATCATTAAAAATTATTTTTTTATTTTGTACGAACAAAATAAATATATTGAAAAATATAAAATCAATCAATCTTTTTTATTAAGGCACCATAGAAGTACATGCCCGGTACCACGAGGCATAGCCGGGCTACCAAACAAGATTACAGGTGAATTACAAGTTGTAAGAATTTATGCAATGCGATACAGCAGTTGAATGAAATGTAATAAAATAGTACAAAGCAGAAATCATTAAAGCTAGTGAAAAATACAATAAAAACAAATAAGAGTATAATTAAAACTAAATTATAAATAACTGTAGAAAAGGTAAATAAACAAAATTAATTAGCGTGTTTACACAATGGAATATAATAAAATAGTGAATAGTACAATATATATTATGTAATGACAGGGGAAAAAATATAAACAAAAGTATGTACATATATACAGGACATGGGCAGCTAATGGCTGCAAGTGATACAAAATATTACAGGTAGTAAGTACAGAGAAGGGTTACTGGTTGGAGGTGGTAGTAGAGATAACACCATGTTTTTTCACAAGTGCATCAAAGGCTGTATACAGTTCTTTGTTCTGAAGAAACTCCTTGTGGTGGCATGGCCAGGGGATGTTATTTTTGGAGGCTATTACTTGATGTTCGAACGTTCAGTTTCAGCAACACACAGCTGAAAATGTGATGGTCAGCGTCATCAACTTCATTACAAATGGCGCACAGTGGGGTGTCCTTGATGGCAAACCTGTGGAGATAACTGGAGAACTTTCCATGATTTGTTAGGAACTGACATAAGTGGGTATTGAGCTGTATCCAGTTGAATTTGAAGTAATCCTTAATGTCCGGAATGTAACTAAAAGTAGTGTTATTGTGGTTGTCATTCCAGTTACACTGCCAAGAGTAAAGAAGATCTTCGAAAAGCAAGTTTTTAATAGCAGAGTGACTAATTTTGTCATAGGCTATGTCCAAGGAGTCATTGTTGGCTGCTGCCTTTGCCAGTTGGTTGGCCCGCTCATTTCCGGCAGTACCCTGATGACCACGAGTCCAATTAATGTAGAGGTGGTTTGTTGAGTTGCTGAGGTGCTTTCTGATGTTAGTTGCGATGGGGTGTTGTTTCTTGCTGTTAATGATAGAAAGAGCAGAAAGACAGTCTGTGAGTATGACTATAGTTGCATGCTTGTAGTGTGCCGAAACCCAGTTGGTGGCCTTGCCAATAGCAGTTAGCTCTGCCTGAAATGCAGTACAGTGGTCAGATAACCTGTACTGTTCACTGTGAATTTCATGGTCATCCTTGTAAGCCACGAAGGCACAGCCAACCTTGCCGTCAAGTTTTGAGCCATCTGTAAATATTTGGACATCGCTGTACTGCGGAGGGTTGGTGTTTAGATAGTTGTGGACATATGGAGGAATGGTGTCAACAGGATTGTTTCTTTCAAGCTGATTAGCTGAGATGTTGCAGCTGAATGTGCTGATATCATGACCCCATTTAAGGCTCCAGAAGTTGTAGTAGAGATTGATGATATCCACAATAGGCGGCTTGCGAGTAATGACTTGTAGGCTGACGTTTGGTGTCGTCCTGTAGGCCTTTGAGATAAGTAGAAGGGCCCTGCGCTGGGAAGAGATAAGTTTTCTTTTGAGGTGGACTTTATGTGCAGCCCACCCCCAGCTACCACAAGCATAAGTGACAATGGGTACATATATCTGATTATAGATAAGGCTGAGAGCATCGGATTTTAACCCCCATTTGCTCTTTGCAATCTTTGCAAAAGCATTGAAGATTTGACCAGTACGTTTAGAGATGTCTTTGATGTGTTCGTCCCAGCTCAGGCTATGGTCCAGTAGCACGCCCAGGTACCTTATGGATTTCACAACCTTAATACTCTTGTTGTCCATTTTAATGGTGGGCACGCGACGATAAAGGTTGGGGTTGCCTGGTTTGTTCATCACCATTGCCCTGGTTTTATCAGGGTTAAAGTGGAGTTTATGCTTTTGACCCCATTCATGAATCATGGCTAGGGTTTCAGTTCCTTTTGTTTCCAAATCTGCTCGAGACCTGCCACCAATGAGTATAAGAACATCGTCAGCATAAGCGGTGGTACTGTCCTGGCCAAAGTTCTGGGACAAGAAAATGTTGAAAGTAAGGTTCCACAACAAAGGGCTGCATACTGATCCCTGAGGGCAGCCGCAGAGAATATTTCTGCGTATGGCGGTGGTTCCGTGTTGAAGGTATGCACTGCGATTGTTGAGGTAGTCTTTGAGAACATTATAAATATTGGCTGGGCAATTGGTCATTTTTAGCTGATAGAGAATAAGTGGCCACCAGGCACTGTCAAAAGCTTTGCTGATGTCCAGGCTGATGGCTAAGACATATTTGTGACAATTGAGTAAACCTTTGATATTTTGGACTGCATGATGGATGGCATCAGTGGAGGAGCGCTGATGTCTGAAACCAAACTGCGTGTCATTAAGAGTATGATTGTTTTCTACATGCCAGTTAAACGGTCTGTAATCAGGCGTTCCAGTACTTTACCAAAGACAGGAAGAAGCGAGATAGGCCTTGAGTTATGTGGGCATCCCGGTTTTGGGACTGGGACAATTTTAACTGTTTTCCATCCAGCAGGGAATATGCCATAGTGTAGGCAACAGTTGTACATATTTATAATATGATCTGGTATCATTCTCCATATTGCTTTGGCAATTTTTGCATTGATACCATCAATACCTGGTGATTTCTTGTCGTTGAGACTGGCTATGGCATTATCGATTTCATGATGTTGGAAGGCCGGGGTGTTATTGGTACATATAGGATTGTTCATCTCCTCACAAATGTTCCTCTGCCAGTGTGTGTCAGAGTCAGGGTTGTCGACAATACAGAAAGAGTCCATTTGTTTATTGAGAGCATCAAGGAAGTTGTTGGTGTTAGGATCATTGTTGTCAGTAGTGAGGATGCATGTTTTCTTCAGCTTATTAGTGCAAAGCTTGGTCAGGTAGCCCCAAGGATCAGAAGATGCAGATGTGCAGAATTGTCTCCAGGAGTAAATCTTGGCCTTCTTGATTTCAGATTTGTAGAGTTTCTGGTGGTCAAGGAAGTGCTGCTTTAGGTTGGTGCGTTCTGGTTCAGTCTTGCAGTTTTGATATGTTTTCCTCAATTTATTGTTAGATTTTCTGAGATTAGTGAGGTTGTCATTCCACCAGGCTACAGATTTGTGTTTTGGGACAGTCTTAGGGATGTAGTTCTCACAGGCTTGCCTGATTTTGCTGATATTAATTTCCAAGATTTGTTCTGCTTCATCTTTACTGCTGGAAGAGTAATCTAAGAGGTTGTCTCTCAGGTAATTCTGCATACCTTCCCAGTCTGCAAGGGCAAGGTTGTACCTTGCCTGAGTGGTAATGCTGTTGTCGGAGGTGTGCTGAGTGGTGTTCAATGTAAAAGAGATGTAGACGTGGTCACTAAGACTGTTCTCCTCATGTACTTTCCAGTTGTTGATGATGTTTAGGCAGCTAGGGCTACAGGCAGAAATGTCGATCCATGTCTCTCCACGGCTAGACACATAAGTTGGTGGGGGCAGCGGGTTATTCAGAATGAGCAGTCCGTTCTGTGAGAAGACTTCTTCGAATGCCTCACCTCGATTGTCTTGGTGGTCACCTCCCCATGTTGGTGAGTGTGCATTGACGTCGCCGGCAATGATGATGTCTTTGTTGTTTCGTGTCTCAATAATGTCCTGTATATGCTTCAGCATATTATGAACATTGGCCTCCTGGGGACAGTAGATGTTGATGACTGTATAGCTGACATTGTTATGGTATATTTCAGTGCAGACAATATGTTGGCTGGAGAGGTTCTTGAGATGTAGCACAGAAAGATTTGGGTTGGTGACAATGCTGATTGCCCAAGGGTAGGAGCTAGTACCTTTAAGGATTGAACAAAAGGTAGGGAGGCATTTAGGGATGTTATGGAGACAGTAAGGCTCTTGGACAATGATAAAGTCATACTCGTGGCACTTTGCAGCAAGTAGTGAGGTGGCTGCTATACCTCTGCCAAGATTAATCTGCAGGAAACGGATGCTTGTATTATTATTAATTGACTCCATAATCAGTTCGTGATATGAGATTAATTTTCAGTTTTATATAAATGGGACAAGTACTACTGCGTGCATTGTGTTTAGTTTCAGCTTGTTTATCCCTAGTGCAGTTACAGCAGGTGGGCTGCTTGTCACGATGCGGGCATTCTCTGAAGGTGTGTTTCCCTGCACACTGACTGCAGGTGCTCTTGGCCTCTGGACAGGTTTTGGTGGAGTGTCCAAACTTACAACACTTGTAGCATTGTAGGATGGGGCAGAAGTCGGCTACGCGGCATCTGGACCATTCTATATTAACTTTTTTGGCAGTTATTAGTAATTTTCTGAGTCTGGGTGTGACCTCTACTATCCAATTCCTGAAAACGCTGTCCTTTTTGCCAGTATTAAACTTCACTCTAAATTCTTCTTCAAATTGACTACGCTCGTAGATTTCTTGAATGACAGAGTTTTGGTCATAAATTTTTTGTGGTATGTCCTCAGCATTGCATTCCTGTGAAACAGAGATGATACTAACGTGAGGTTTCCGCTTTTTTGGTTGTCGTGTATCGAGCTCAGGTAGAGTTTCTTTTATCTTGGCCTCAA